AATCTTGTTTGAGTTTAAGTAAAAATCTAGAAAAGTTAGGTTACGTCGGACACTTTGAATATTATATTGTAAAAAGGATATCATGTTGAAACTTAAGAAAGAACCCCAGCGGATTTCCTCGCAGTACTGGATGCTCGAACGGGGCAAGAAATAGCACAGACAAACATTTTTTCTTCAAATTCTTCAATAAGATTGTGAGGGATCATCGGACGGATACTTTCTTGAATCGCGAGAATTAATTTTTCAAGTTCTGAAGACCGCAAATAGTTGTTTGAAATTTTCGGTCCAAGAAGGCTTGTTCCAGACGACTTGGGGGTGTATTGGGAGAAGGCTTGGTGGGTGAATTGATAAGAGATTTGGAGGGAACCAATTTCCTTTTGACGACAGCAGTGTATTTATTTTTGGTTAAGATTTTGTTGGCATTTTGATCATCATCCTTGGTCGAAATTGCAAGCGTGTTCCCCAGTGGAGGGAAATTGCCGTCATAAGTGTTGTCATCGAGACATTCGAAATAATTTTCGGAAAAATTCTCTTTGACCTCTTTATACGAAAGATTTTTAATCGCCATTATCCTGTTGATGTTTAATTCAATTTCCCTATTAGGGCAACACTTATTGAGAGCGTTGTGCTCACCTGAGCCACAGGACAAGCACTTCATCGCCTCACAATTTACACACTTCGGAGACTTTCCACAGTTAAGGCACCTGCTCTCTTTAGCTTTGGAGAATTTAGATACGTGACCGTATCTGCCAAACTTAAAGCACTGCTTTAAAATGGGTACAAAGTATTCGACCGGCAGATTACAATAGTTAAATTTTATTGCCTTAGGGAGGGCTCTCCCTTTGAAGCCAACTTTGATGCTGGTTGTGGGAATCCACTCGTCTTTGTTGTTGGGATTTCTTCTTTGGAAACGGACAGCGGAGTTAATCGGAATATCGGATACGGCGGTTTTAATTATATCATCGACACTATATGTGCATGGGATGTTTTAAATAACTCCAAATCTCTCAGTGAACGACGTCGGTATGTACGCTTTTAAATTCTTTTTATTAAATTCATTATTCATAACAAAATTGTTGGCATTGACAGCGGAGCTGAAAAGCAGTTTGGCTCTACCCCTGCTGACAACTTTTAATTCTTTTAAGCCGTACATACCGAAATCTTTCAAGTAATCATAGAAATAGAGATTGGAGTTAATATTGATGCGATTTCCTTCTGCGTCCGCGCACGTTTCGACAAAAACGACAAAATTGCAGTTGGAAAGGCAATCGTACAAATTAATCTCGAGACTTGGGGCGGCTGTGGCATCCAAATCAGAGGGCTTGTCTACTAGGTGGAATTAAAACATTTGCGTTAGCTTCTCCGTTATCAGATAAAAGAATATTATTCTCACCCATTTTCGATCTCTTGGTGTGCCCAGTGGCGTTCATGTAAAAATTTTCAAAACAAAAAAATTTTCTCTATTAGTAGTTATAAGATCAGACCCAGTCTCCATAAGGAGACGGGCTGATGTTGTTTTGGTTGTTATCACAGGGAACACAAAAAGAAAAAATCACAAAGAAAAAACAAAAAATAATAATTGAATATATGTATTGCTTCTAAATTTTTCTCTCACGAGAGATTCCTCCTCCTTCCCTCCTTTTCCTTCTTTAAAATTGTTTTCTTTGGTTATTTTATTACTTTATTAAACCTCTTTTCCTTTTATCAAATATTTAAAATCTCTTCTTTTTTTTCCTTAATTTTTTTTTTTTTTTTTTTTCACTAACACCGGTAAACACAAAAATTATCCAGCTGCCGTTTGCGGAGATGACGTGTTGTGTCAAGTGTGAATGAAATGCGGCCAAAAAGAATTTAAACAAATCCGGCTGTTTTCACAATAAACGCGTATCTGAAATAAATAAAAGAGATGGTGCTCAGGATGTTGATAAGTGTACTGGAAAACTGGAAGAACTTGGACTAGTCCACTGGAATTGTCAAAAGACTGGTCATCATTATCATGAGTGTTTTGCAGAACGAAATATTTTCTGTTACGGTTGCGGTAGGTGTACCGCAACATTTGGTGAAATGTATATAAACTTACAAAAATGCACCTCGTGTCACCTCGTGTACAGAAATGTGCACGATGGTAAAAACCATAAATCCAATTATTGAAAAATTAACATCTGATGAAATTGCGGTTTATCCTTTGCAAGTACAAATGTTAAATATGAATGGCAAAAACCGACAGATGCCCTACCCAAGGTTTGTTCGCGGCCGTTACAAGTTATTTTGGAAAATGTTAAACGAATTCAACCTATGGCATCTTCTATTTTTGAGAGACCCAATGATGTTCGTCCTTATGCTGACGTTATACTATTCGAAAAAAAAATCAGTTGGCTAAAACTTATTTAGAATCAGGCAAATTTTTGAAGCGCATAATATCATCAATTTGAACTGCAGATGGTAATTTACAAAGTATTTTTGAATTCACAAAAACTGTTATTTCTTTTCGTGGTGTTGAAAAAGTGATTCAAATTTTTGTCATTCCATCTTTATCGAAAGATTTATTCTTGGTTTGTGATTTTTGCAAATTATTTGATCTTTGAGTTGTATTTCAGAAATTTCTACTGGTCAACCTAAACCGGTAGAAACGACCATATCGTGTGAGTTAAGCAGTTCACAACTGCAGCAATTACAGAACATTATTAAAATATTTCCATCATTTGCTAAAGAAGGTTTAGGAAGGACAAACATTCTTACTCATACGATTTATGATTTAAGTGCTAAGCCAATTAAGCAAAGGCATTTCCCCGTTTCACCTGCAATTGAAAGAATGATGTATGACAAGCTTGATCGAATATTGAAATTGGGCGTTATACAGGAATCTAATAGTGCGTGGAGTTCACTTTGCGTTTTAGTACGTAAGGCTGGGAAAAATCTGTTATGTAGGCAGGTAAAGCCACTGTTAAAGATGCGTATCCTTTGCCTCATATAGACGGTATACTTAGCAGGTTACCTTAAGCTTATTTTATTATTGCACTTGATCTCAAAGACGCCTTTTGGCAAATACCTCTAGATAATTATTCTAGAGACAAAACTGCGTTTACTGTTCCAGGAAGACCATTGTACTGTTATGCCATTTGGGCTTTGTAATGCACCTTAAACAATGTCGAGATTAGTGGACAAAATAGTACCAGCTCATCTAAAAAATGAAAAATATTTGTGTATTTAGATGATCTCCTTGTAATATCTGACACTTTTCAGCGCCATATAGAAGTTCCGTCTTTATTATCGAAACTGCTTAGGAATGCCGGTTTAGCTTTAAATGTAGAGAAGAGTAAGTTCTGCGTTGAAGAAGTTAAATATTTAGGACATATTATTGAAAAAGGTGTCATTCGCACTGATCCAGATAAAATTTCTGCAATTATCCTGCTCCCAAAACTGTAAAAGGAATACGTAGATTCCTTGGCATAAGTGGTGGTGGAAAATTATGCAACTATTTGCGCTCTATTAACTGATCTGACTAAAAACAGAAAGAAATTTGTGTGGAGCGATACAGCTCAACAGGCATTTCAAGATTTAAAATATTTATTGAGTTCTACACCTGTCTTGCATAGTCCATATTTTTCCAAGCCCTTTTTAATTCATTGTGACGTAATCCACACAGGTATTGGAAGCGTACTTGTTCAATTTAATGCTGAAGGTGATGAAGTTCCTATTGCACTCATGTCCAGAAAGTTAAATAAAGCTCAAAGAAATTACTCAGTTACGGAACAAGAGTGTTTAGCTGCCATTCTTAGTGTTAAAAAATTTAGGGCTTATGTCGAAGGCCATGGATTTACAATAGTTACAGATCATGCATCTTTAAAGTGGCTTATGTCTCAAGCGGATTTAAACTCCCGATTAGCAAAACGAGCTTTAAAACTACAGGCTTTTAACTTTAAAATTTGTCATCGAAAAGGCAGTCACCATATCGTTCCCGACATACTCTCACGTAGACGTCAGACGTCAGACGAAGAGAATTCAGTAGACTTACTAGATAATATTCCATAAAATTGTTATGTAAATGGCTTGACAGCTGATGATACTGGTCTATTTGTTGATCTTAATTCACCTCATTTTAAATCAGAAGATTCTAATACAGGGCATAGAAAGAAAGGCAAATAAACTGCTGGATGTAAAAATATTAGATGGATTTGTGTACAAACGAACTCAACATGAAGTAGGTGAGCAATTACATGACGATTTATGTTGGAAATTTTGGATTCCAAGTACGTTAATTAACGAAATTATTTACAAGGTCCACAATCAGTTGTGTGGTCTCCTTCATATAGGTGCTACGTAGATTCAATTGAATCTGTTCAAAAGCAATTCTTGCTGTTTGCCCTTAGAAATTTGGGTTGGGATCCGATTGCCTCTCTTCCTCCGTATGAAAATAGGTTGCTTCTGCTGTCCTTACCGTCTCTTAGGTTTGTTCTTGGCGTTTCTTTTGTAATCAAAGTAATAAATGGGGCTATTGACTCGCCTTCATTACTTGGTGAAATAAGCTTTACTTCTCTACGCACTTTATCTTGGTTAAGCATAGTCAGTGTAAATATAATTATGAGCTGTTTAATCCGCTCAGAGTTGTTTGCAAGAACCTAAATGACGGCTATCACTTATTCTCATTATCTTTAAAGTGCATTAAAGCAACATTGCTTAATACACTCGATTTACCTATGTCGTATTTAAGCTAGCTTTTATCCTTAAAAAGTCGTTACGTTTCGAAAGTGAATTATTGTCAATTTATTATCGGTTGCCAGGCTTTTGCATGTTTGCGATGGCTTAGGGGTTCATTTGCAATTTGCTCCTGTACCGGTTGTAAGTGTGCTCCTATGCTGATAGTGTACCTTTTTTTCCTTTTTCTTTTTTTTTTTCTTCTTATTTGTTTTATTATGCTTATACTCAATTTTATTGTTAATTAATATTAGTTTTGCATTAAGAGCCTATTGAACTCGACTGTTATTTGTTTAGTTGAGTTTCTAGTATAAGTGGAATAAATAAAATAAATAAATAAAATGACCGTCTGTCTTCACATTTAGGAATTATCAAAACGATAGAACGAATTCGTCGACTTTACTATTGGCCTAGCTTGGTTAATGACGTAAAAAACCATATAAATGTGTGCAATATTTGTAAAATGGGCAAAAAAAAAACTAAAGCGGTTATGAGCACTGATCAGGAGGTGGGTTCGGTGCGTGGTAGCGTTTACTGTGCAGCTGCTGTTTGGAGTTTATATCAAGCTTATAGACGCACAGACGATGATCGCGGTAAATCCTATGAGCTAGGCCAATCAACAGTGAAGTGCATGCGTGGCATATTACAATGCTGGATAAAGCAAGCTTGTCGTGTTGAATTTTTCAAACAGAGACAATCCAATCAATATGGTCTACATAGTAAATTTCATTTGCACACTGGGGAGGACTATTTCCTCAACCTATTTTTACAACCATTTGCAAATAGATATGATCTCTTTGTATATAATTTTTTTAGCTCAAATGATTACATCGGGTTTGCAAATTATCTATACGCAGGTAACTCAACATGAACAATACTTTTTACATTATATTAAAAACTAAATATTTTTCTTAAAGGATGAAGTGGCTATTATCCAAAATTTGGTATACTATGTCGAAAGAGCTTATCGTACGCCAGATTAAAAGTAAGGAAACTTTTTAATTTTGGCCAGGGTATTACAAAAAACTTAGCTAAATGAATGATAGTAGAATCAGATCAAAATCAGTAATTTGGTAATTGAAAGAAGTATATCCGGTTGTTGGTTGTTGGCGCTGGGTTATCTTACTGACTAGCACGCATGCGGATGTATTTGTACAATTTCTTACGTGCCATCATAAATTTTTGAAGTGTTTAATTGTAATAGAAATACTAAATGTAAAATTAGAATGAAAGCTCAGCTGATTTGATAAAGGCAGTCAGTTGCTTCAAATACCTAAAGTTACTAGTACGAAAAATGTCATATAAATTGTTATACAGGTTAAATATACTGAAAGATTGTCTAAGGATGTCAAACCTCCTGCACTCAAAAATAAGGTGCTCGGCAGACTCAGTGATATTGCAATCCTCACAGATGTCAGAGGATGAGACTTTGATCATTTTAAAATAGACCTTGTCGTAGGTGTGATTATTCATAAGACGGTGAAGAACTTTAAATTCCCATGTTGTGAATTTTCCTTTAGGTAGAAGCGTGGGTGGCAAAAAAGGGTAAATTTTGTAGAACAGCCGGTCACTTTTTTCTCTAGCTAAAACATGATACTCATCTTTCCATTCTTTTATGATGAGTTTTTTGACTAGCAGAAAAGCTTCGCTGGGGGGGGTAGTTTATGGACAAAACTGTACCATCGAACCTAGCTTGACGAGCATGGAAATCAGCTTTTTCATTGATACTAAAACCGCAGTGACCTGGGATCCAGATGATGTGGCATTTTTCAATATTTGGGTCTTTTAAAAGTTTGTAGATATCGAAGACATACTTATTGAATGGGTCTTTGTTCTTGATTAAAATTAGAGCAGATTTGCTGTCAGAGAAAACTACAAATTTTTTTAGCTTAATTTCAGATGCATGGATGATTGCTTGTCTGATGGCCAGAAGTTCAATGAAGGTGGATGATAGTTCTTGCAGAACTTTGAATTTTCCCATAAGTAAGTTTGGGTATTCAATAATTGAAAAGCTAGAGATGTCCGAATTGATAGATCCATCCGTTGCGTATATTTTGAAGTTATTTTCGACGAAGTGGTTAAGTTTTTGCAGACAAGCGGATGTATGCGTACATCCACCAATTGTGGCACGGCAGGATTGTGACTTACTTCACTATCCTGGATGTTTAACGTAACAACGAAAACGTTTCTGGATCAACACAACAGCGCCAAATGTTCAACTCTTTTGCTAACTTGGATACCAAATTCATCCCTGTGGAAATGCCCATCGTCGGGTAAGGGATATCCAGCTTATTTTAAATGCCCTTTACCACTGACAGCTGGAGCAAATGCTCAACTTTTCATTGGTGATGTTAATGGCGAGAGCGAGCTTAGTAGATTCAAAACTTGTTCCACTGCTAATAACGAAAATGCGAAGGAAGACGAGACAAACGCTTCAACGGTTGATATGCAGGAGTTGCGCATTGAGCTGCAGCCTTTATTAGGCGGTAAAAAAGCATCTTCGGAGGACTTGAAAGCTTTGCTTCGAAAGGAGCCCATCACTTCAGTTAACATAACCATATCAAATCCACAAGCAGAGAGTACTAATATATCGCAAACTTATAATTGTATCGTGGCTGCTGATCGAGAAAAACTTCAATTAAATTCTGATGGCTAGATATCCGATGGCAATAACCCGAACTGGATGACGCCGGAACTTCTAGCCTTTAAACTTCCAGATAGTGAAAATACTACTCTCACTGTGAGGCGCAAAAGAAATATCAAATGTCGACGGTTCTCAGTCGATTTAAGTCAAATGCGATCATTGCTTGGCGGTGGCTTACGGTGGTTTGAATTATTTGGCGCAAGTAGCAAGGTGTTTATTTTTTTGCACACTAATATATTTCATATTTCTGTATGCTTCTAAGTCTTTCAACAATGGCATTGTTTTTTGCATAATGTCACTAGGACAAGAAAAACAAAATTTGCCTTATCGCCATAGTCATGTCGGCCAGAAGTAAAGAAATCTGAACTTCATTCTAATGAAGGAAATGTGAAAAAAGATTACCACTTTCTACGGTACATTGCTCAATGCAAAAGGAGAAATCGACGATGATCTAATGTTAAGGAAATGCGTATTCTTCGGCGAATTGGAGAAACGTTTGCGCCAGACCGTTTGGCCATTTCTATTAAAATGTCACTCCTTCTCATCGACTTTTGAAGATCGAGCCGTCTTGACGGATATTAAACGGCAGGAATGTGAGGAGTTTACACGGCGACGTTTATATTCGCCCAAAGAACAAATATATTTCTGGAAAACCGTTCAATGTATTGTAGAAAAGGTGTTGTACGTACAGACTGTTCCAATCCGTTATTCTGCGGCGAAGACAATCCTAAGACTGAAATTATGAAAAACATCATTAAACTTTGCCTTTTACAATACCGGTATTTCTTATTCACAAGGTATGAGCGATCTTTTAGCCCCGGTTTTATGCGAAATACAAAATGAATCAGAGACGTTTTGGTGTTTTGTCGGTTTGATGCAGAGAGCATTTTTTGTCTGTACGCCAACTGACAACGATATTGATCGTAATTTTAACTATTTGCGTGAACTGATACGCATTATGCTTCCGCGGTTTTACGAACATTTAGAGCAGCATAGCGATGGTTTGGAATTACTGTACACTTGGGTTCACAGTCGTTTTCTTTTTTTGCGAAGCAATTTTCTCTTGATCGTCGGGCTTAATAATTTTATTAACATTGCTAACTTTTATTTCTGAGGTGGGATTAAGTGTCGCAGAAACTGTGAAGAACAAGTGTAGCAACTAACTTAATACAAAGTACATTTACATTTATAGCTTACTTCTTGAAGTGAATTTATCGAACATGATTTTTTGGGATGTCGTAGTCCAGAAGGCCACAAGTGTCAGGACGAGTGCGTCGGTTTTTAATGAGATTAGAATAACATGAGAAACGGGATTGACAGCATCCGCTTTCCACCAAACAGATGCCGGTGTGTACTGTTGAATAAGCAACTAAACTTTCACGGTGCGAAAAACATTTGCCACAAATCTTGGTGCAAAAGTTGACAGAATTACGACAGCTTTTGGAGATTGTTATACGCTTTTTAACTTACGTCGCATTCGTAAGGCTTCTCCCCAGTATGTGACCTTTCATGCTCTACTAAACGGCCCTTCTGATAGAAATTTTTACCACAATAACTGCAATAATTTTTCAACTCGCCGGTATGAAATTCTATATGTTGTTTCAGATTATATTTGGATATGAACATCATTGAGCATTGTTCACATTTATAAGGTTTTTTGGTACCACATCAGTAGGTATAAGTCGCCGATATGGATCAATTGTCTTATATTTAGCTCCACATTTATCACACTTGAATAATTCGCGATCAACGTCTTTATGTACATCGCGTATGTAAATTCGATGTTGCTCTTCACTAGTAAAAGTTGTATTTTTGCAGGGGCGACATGCAATCGTCACACGAATCGTGTCACGATGTCGCTTTAAGTTTTCATCCATGCAAAAGCGTGGTTCAAAACAGCAACAAAAAAAGCCACCAGGAGATTCATGTTTTTTAACATGTTTCACAAAACCATTTAGGGAGGTCAGAGCAAAGTTTCACTAGCACTGGTTGATTTCCGATGACGTTGGATCCATTGATAAGTGTGGAATTGCCTAGAAGAAACCGAGTATCATTATGGTTACTCATTCAAATAAACATTCCTTGACGAAATCGGAGAGATATATTCTTTAAGCGTTTTATTTTTCCTGTAACATTTATTAACCTTTTTTAACGACACTCAACTGAAGATGTTTAAATGGTTCTTGAATACCTCCAAAGAGAACAATAAAACTATTATATTTAGGCAAGATATATCTTTAAATATCCCGCGCTTCTTCATCTAATGCAAACTTCTTTCGTTCACCAAATATCCAAAATCATGCCTCGTTACCTTATAGATGCTTACTTTTTGCAGTAAAGAAGAGAGCCCGAGCATAAGCGGTCCAAATTTGGTAAAATTATTCCAAATCAGCACTTGTTATGGTGCGAAGGCTTACTTTCAAGTTGCTATTTAAAACGAATTTCCTACGAATTTTTCTTGAAATCTGTTAAAAATTGTCATGAGCGGCATGAATGTGAGGAACGCTCAAATATATTGATTTGATTTAATCCTTTTAACAGAACTTTACCTTTGGCCAAATCACATCAACGTAGAAAATGCTGTCAAAATATATTAAAAGTAGCGACCTTGTACGTTAAACACAACAACAACGCACGGCAGGCAGAAACGCATAAACTTCATTTATTCTGAATTGTGTAGGGCATAAAAAGAGAAAATGTTTTTCGAATTTTCATACAGTTTCAACAATTTATTTTGTTATATTCAGACATTGCTGTTTGTATAGCCTTTATGGGTATTCGATGACCGAATAGTGCAGCAATTAATATTGGAAATTTAAAGAAATTGCTTTTATACCATCTGAAGGTCTTCCTTCGCGATCTTGTTTCTTGCATTTGTTTTTCAATGATTTGAAATTTCTCTAAGCAAATTTGTTTCTTTCCATTTCTGACTTATGCTCAAATTTTCTACGTAATGTGTACATATAGTACAGCTGCTACTATGACTCAAAGGATCTTTCACAAACTATACATCGATTTCCTAGGTCCATATCCACGTAGTCGGACAGGAAACATTGGAATATTTGTAGTTGTAGACCACTTATCAAAATTTCCTTTTCTGGCTCTTAAAAAATTAACCACTGATGCAATATGCAAATATCTACAAGAAAAAATTTTTCACGTTTTTGGAGTATCCGAAATTACCGTATCAGACAATGGTGTACAATTTAAGTCTTATCAATTTAAAGAATTGATTAAGAAAAAGAATATTACTCACACTTTAACAGCTGTTCATTCACCTCAGGATAACGCATTGGAACGTGTAAATCGAACTGTTATTGCTGCAATTAGAGCTTATGTCAACGTAGATCAGAAAAATTGGGATGAAATTCTTAGTTAAATTGCTTGTGCATTGCAATCAAGCGTTCACTCTGCGATTGGGATTGAGCCATATTATATCATATTTGACCAACACCTGATTGCAAATGCAAAAAGTTATGTATTAATTAAACAAGCAAAAATAATGGAAGACGGGACGGCAAATTTCTTCAGGGAAGATTCCTTAAATATCATCCGGAAACAAGCTTGCAATCATATTGAAAAGCAGTTTAAGAGAAATGAGAAAAATTACAATTTGAGAACGAAAATGATAACTTACAGAGAAGGACGAGAAAAAGGACAATGTCGTAAATTATCTCCTTTATTTATAAAAGCAAGAGTAAAAAAAAAGTTAGGTAATTCATATTATGATTGAACAATTTAGGAGGCAAATATATTGGGACATATCACGCAAAAGATATACGTCAGTGAAGATCATTAATCATCTTTGTGGCAATTTTTTTTGTTGCCATAAAGGCGGTTCTTCGTAGGGGAATTGTAATAGGCACTGTAATATTGTAACGGCCGCGAACAAACCTCGGGTAGGGTGTCTGTCGGTCTGTATCAACCGCAAGCAGCGGAATAACGGCATGCCGTTAGACAAAATCATGCGATTTTGTGTTACTGCTTATAAATCACGTGATCTTGCGGGATATGTTTTTTTTATTCTTTTCTGTTTTCCTTGTTTACAGGTACAGGCAGAATCGTATGATTTTGCGGTACTCCTTTTTTTTCCTTTTGCTCTTGCAAGCATAGGCAAGAAATCGTATGATTTTGCGGTATTTTTGCTTGCTTTTGCAAGTACAGGCAGAATCGTATGATTTTGCGGTACTCCTTTTTTTTCCTTTTGCTCTTGCAAGCATAGGCAAGAAATCGTATGATTTTGCGGTATCTTTGCTTGCTTTTGCAAGTACAGGCAGAATCGTATGATTTTGCGGTATTCCTTTTTCCTTTGCTTTTGCAATCATGGGCAAAAATCGTATGATTTTGCGGGATCTTTGCTTGCTTTTGTGAGAGTAGCGGCAAGCCGCTATAGAGAGAGCAACAGGAAGAAGAAGAGGGAAATTGAGTAAGAACGAGAAGTTTGTCTGCTTTTTAATTTGAAGATAGAGGAGAGAACAACTTGGGATCTGATGGAGTGCGGACGTGTCCGCGAGTTGTGTCTTCAGTTTTATTAAATAAAAAAAAAAAAAAAAAAGGTTAAACGTTTTTGTGAATCCAAAGAAAAAAAACGCCACTTTAAAGAAGAAATATCCTAAATTTACATTGAGTGATATTTGACAGAAAAATTCATCCAAATTCTAGACCGGTTAATAGCCATAAAAGTTGTGAATTTGTCACCTATTGATAATTAATTCATTGATTTCGTTTGCCTGAATATAAAAAAAAAGGAGAAACAGAAAGAAAGAATATAAAGTTAAACAAGAAGCAAAAAGTTTTTCTACTAAGTGAATAAGGTAGAAAATTGTTGATAAAAAAGGGCATTTATGAACAAATGGCCGTATTTTTTTTTGTTGTTAATTTTCTGAAATTCTTACCAAAATGAAAGTTCAACGGCAAACATTAAGTGTCGAAAAGAAAAGTTGGAAAAAATGTCGCATCAATTAGCTGCGAAAGATTGACAAAAAAAAGGGAGATTTCACGTTGTACAAAATCTCAGGAAACTCCCAGGCGTCAATGAGACAGTTTGTCATATGAAGAAAAAATACCTTTTCATATAAAAAGACTGCTAAAGCAAAAAAAAAACAGTCGTGCATAAATTTCCTAAACATCATTAGTACATAAGTATCTTAAACACATTATTGCTAAAATGTCTTAACCATTATTATTGGAAACTTGGAGTATTTTTGTTGGTTTCATCATTACGTGTTAAGAGGAAAAAAAAAATAGAAATAAAGAAAAAAAAAGGAGCAAATCTAGGTGTTTACTTCAATCCGCATGGATTGGAAGGAAAAAAAAAACTGCTTCCCCAGTTTGTTAACTTGTGAACCACGTACCCACCCGTGCATCCACACACGCAACAATGGAAGCTAAAGTTTGATCCAGGTGAAGAAGTTTCGTAGAAGGAGGGGAAATTGCCGAAGGAGACAGCCACAACATCGCGATTGGATTATATTGTAAGTTGTTTTAGTTTGTTTACTTCCCTTTTTTTTTGTTTTTGTGTCTCCGATGCGTGGCTAAGCGTTACAGCTGCCACCGCTGCAGCTGGGAGAAAAAAGGGGTGTGCATATGTAGGGCAGACGCCAGCGGTTACAGACTGACTTACGGTGGACAGACGGACGGTAGACAACCGACGGGACCTTTTCGTATTTTTTTATTCTTTGTCAGGAAAATATATATACTCTACCGGCAACAAAAGTAGCTAAGACCGTGACAATATTAAAAAAAAAATAAATAAATAAAAGAAAAGCAGTTATTTGTCACAGAGAAAAAAAAAAGAAGAAAATTGAGTTTTCTTGGGGGATAGCGAAAGAAAATTTGGCAGTTGAGAGATTGAGTTATTCGAACGAACAGCTATGTGTTCATTTGAAGTGATTATAAACTCAATTTTGATTTGTCAGTTTTTGGAGATTTTGAAATTTGGTTTTTATTACATTTTTAAAAAGGACTATCATTTCATTGATATTTTTTTCAAAAGGAAAGAAAAAAAGGAAAAATAACAGAAACTTCTTCTTGAAAAAACTACAAAAAGTGAAAATTTATATAGCTATATTGTGAATAAATCTATGTTACGAATTTCGACCCTAACAACACGCAAGCTATAATTCAAAAGAAGAAAATACACAACAAATTCCAATTCTGTCCAGTTGGTTCACTCACACGTTACTAATTGAAATAATTGCGTGGTTCTAAGGATCAATTTCTTACCAATCATCCCTAAGGCGTTGAAAATATCTATCTTCCAAGCGGTTACGTGTCTCATCGAATCAATGAACGACAATTTGTTTTCGTATTTTTTTTCTTATTATTAATCAAAAACTTTAAAATTTATAATCGGATAAAAAATCATATAGCTGCGGCGATGCGCATCGACGTGGTTGTTTGATTTGGTAAGTTTGCTTTTATTTGTTAAATTAAATTAATCTAAATTTGCGAATAACCTTTTCTGTTATAAATCTGAGTAATCTTAATTAAAAATAATTTTATTATTCTATAAATTGTAAATAATTTACTTCTTCTAAAAAAAAAGAAAAAAAAATATAAATGTCCTTGAATTGTGATACCTTTTTTAGATTTTGAATTAGTTTATTTATATTTAACTTAAATAATTTCGTTTTGTTATTTTTTCTATTTCTTTTTTTTGGAAAAATAGCTGGTGAGCCTTCTTGGGGTGACTGAGGGGCTGAGGGTATAACATTGTATTTATCCGGGAAAAAATTTCAAATTAAAAGCAAGCATGTTTTTTTAAAATAATGAAACATATGTGGCGTAAAAAATAAATTATCATGAAACTAAACAAATTTTTTTTACCCATCCCATCCGACGAGCCAGGCCGGAAAACATGCGATAGGGTCATGATTTAAATAAAAATACTTAGATCCTTGCAAAGCTTAAATACTAAATACCTTACAACCCACTGCAATCTATATACCACCCATTGATTCTACAGGTGTTCTTATTTCTAATCTGTATACCACCCATTGCATTCTGTCACAAAACATATGACTATTAAGTTTAATTCTTATGTGGACATTAAGATTTCTGCTAAACGGCTGATCATAAAAACATTTGAAGCGTATTATTTTTTTAAATTATTGAAAAAATGCAATTACGGGTTAATCTAGTGTTTGTTAAAAGCATAAAGAATCAGTTGACAAGCTAAAAGTTATCGCTTATTATTTAAAAATGGATGAAGAGAATCCCACTTGCTTTTTATTTTGCATGCTTATCTTATTGTGAGCGGCTCTTCATTGTTCTTCCTGGGCTTTTTTCCAGCTAGCCAAAACCAACTCGTTGAAATGTATGGAACTGGCAATGTAACAACTAAACCTACAGAATTGGATGGCGTGAAGTAAGCCGGGAACAGCCATTGAATGATGTGCATATTGATAACCCATCAGGTTCTTTAACAGTAAATCAATTTTGGAGTAAATAAGGATATATAAAAAAAATTATATTTTTGATTTATCTGTTTGTTGCAAATAAAAGAACCTCCTCTTATCAGTCGCTTTTAT